GTGTGTGTGTGTGTTCCTCTAAAGCATCTGGTCATTGTCATTTCTGGCACCAAAAGATCACAGTATAACATTGGCTGATCAGTCGAGCCACTTATGTACCTGCATAGATTACTCAACCCAAAATAAAAATCAGGGGAGTCTGCCGGGCATGGTGGTGCACACCTTTAATCTCAGCACTCGAGAGGCTGAGGCAGGAGGATCACTGTGAGTTGGAGACCAGCCTGGGCTACATAGTGAGTTCCAGGTCAGTCTCAACTATATAGTAAGACCCTGTTTCAAAAAAAAAAAAAAAATCAGGGGAGTCTATATTAAAGGAGAAGTGACTAGATTTTCCTTTGGGGGTCAAAACAGAAGGAAACATGGGGTATCAAGTATGAACAAATTTATGAATTCAGCAGTAGGCAAGAGATTGGAAAGAAGAGGCTGTTGCCGGGATTTAGCTCAGCAGTTCAGTGGCCTGCCTTGCAAACGCAAGGACCTGGTACCAAAAAAAAAAAAGGCTGTGCTTGGAAGGGGCTGGTCAAGTTATTCTTCCGGAATGTTTACTGGAAGATGTGATAGAAAGGGGACAGTATAACAAGACTGAGTAGGAGAAAGGGGAGGCAAGAGGCTGCTGTCCATGGTGCCGCTCATGAATTTCAGCTCGGCCTTGCAGAGGTTATAGGACTATGGTTATTAGTAGGCTGATAAGTTGAGATCTACTGATTCTGAGAGTGGAGACAGCTTAGATAAAGCTGATATGAGTTAGGGATTGAAGCAAGGAAAATATCATTATGCACAGGGGAAGTAAACAGAGAGACCAGGAAACACATGATTTTGGGGTTTTTTTGGTTTTGTTTTTGGTGCTGGGGATTGAACCTAAGGCCTTGTGCATGCTAAGCATGTGCACTACCATTTAGTTACCCCCCCACCCCATTTATTGTTTTATTTTTTATGGAAAATACATATAACATAAAACTCATTTTAACCATTTGAAAGTGTAGAATTCAGTAGTATTAAATCCATTTGCATTGTTTCCCAACTATCATCAATATCTAGTTCTAGAACTTTTCATCACCCCAAGTGGAAATTCTGGATCCATTAAGTAATCAGTCCTCCCTCCTCCCTCCTCCTAGCCCTGGAATTTTTTAGAAAGTACTAATGTACTTTCTCTTCCAGTGGATTTTATATCAGGTAGATCTTAGCTCATGCTGGCACCACCATTTATTGCTAGAATATCTTTGTCCAACTGATATAGATTCTCTGAGCCTATTTTCCACATGTTTAGCATGGGAACAAAAATGCTTAACTCACAGAGCCTTGTGATGATTGAATATATATTTAGCTAAAGTAAGTGTTTAAATAAATATCTGGTTCAAGCAATACAGGATAATTGTTTCATAAAAGTAATAACAAGTCTGGTAAGTAGTTCATGTCTGTAATCTCAGCTACTTGGAAGACTGAGGCAAAAGTATCACAAAATGGAAGCCAGCCTGGGCAACTTAGCGAGACTCTTTAAAAAAAAAATAAATAAATAACAATGAGGATTTCCTTAAATTGTATACTACTTTGTTCAAAGTGCTTACTCATTAAAAAAAAAAAAAAATTGGGAGCCTTGGATTTAGCTCAGTGGTTCTGCTGCCTGCCTTCAAAGTGCAAGGTCCCAAGTTCAAGCCCCAGTACCCACCCACCCCCAAAATTTAGGTAATACAACTTAATAAAAAACTATCAGGAGGGAATTCAAATTCCACTACATTGTTAGAAGGAGTAAACCCTGGTGTGGTAGTACAGGCCTATAATCTCAGCACTCTGGGAGGCTGAGGCAAGAAGATTGCCAGTTTGAGCCCCACCTGGACAATTTAGTGACTTAGCAAGAAAGATCATGTCTTAAAAGAAACAAACAAAAACAGAAAAAGAAAAAAAGGGGGGCTCAGAATATAGCTCAGTACAAAGATTCTAGGTTTAATCCAAATTAAAAAACAAAATAAAAAACTGTTGTTATAGATGCTAAAGTACGGAACTTGAGGATAGTTGAGTTGTCCTCCAGGGTAGTTGAGGAGTTGAAAGCTAACTATATATTCATGGAACTATTATACGTTACAAACTCTAAAATGCTACTGGAATTTGTAGAAGGAAAAAAATTTTCATAATGGTATATACTTAATATTTGAATGAAGGAATGAATGAACAAACACTTAAATAGTGAAGTATAAGACAGGCCTATGGAAGAGATAGAACTTGAACTAGGTAGTTTCATAAATACCATTGCCTGTCTTTCATCTATAAAATTCAATCTGGTTATCAGGATGCATAACAACCTCTGAGGCAGACAAAATAAATTGGATTTTGATTTTTCTTTTTAGATAATCAGTCCAAAACTTTTGAAAAATAAAAATACTTTCCTCAAAGACGTTTAAGAAGGAAGTAGATTTAAGCTTACTACAGTAGGGAAGAGAGTTGTACATATTGTAGAAAAAAGTTATTTATTAGAGTGAGCCAAAAGGAGACCTTTTTCTTTCTTTCTTTCTTTCTTTTCTTTTTTTTTTTTTTTTTTTTGTATTGGTGATCAAACTCAGGACCCTACACTTTTGAGGCAGGAGCAGTACCACGGACCTAAATTCCTGGCCCGCTAAATTTTTTTCCTTTGAAAAAAATCCCATTTCTTATTTGCATTTGTGAACTTAATGAATATTAGTTGGTTCATTCATAAAGATTATTCTTAATTTTTCTCTTTCTCCTTTTAAGTACTCTTCCCCTCATCACTATCCCCCCCTTTTTTTTAATAACACTCATTTCTACCTGGTAATGTCTAGTGATTGCTTATCACCCATCTCCCTAGAACGTAAGCTCCTTTGAAACAGACTTTGTTCACCACTGCATTCCCAGCACCACAAGCATGTCTCATACATAACTGTATTCAGTAGAAATCTGCTAAACCTTTATATAAAAATACATAAATGATATATGTAAGTGGCTGCAGGTTTTTCTGAATATGAAAGTGGTACTTGTTCCTTATAAGAAAATACAGAAATACTAGAGAAAATAAGAAAGAAGAGAATTTTAAACATTGGAAGAATTTATCAACAACATATACCCTTTGTGACTGTACTATAACTGTACTTAATAATTATACTGTACTTAGTAACGGTAGCAAATTAGTACTGTACTGTGCTTAGTAACTGTAACTATGCTTAATAACCGTACTGTATACTTAGTGACTGTACTATACCAGTAAACTCAATTAAAAAACAATATACCCTTAGAAATCTGCTTGATTGAGTTCATGTTAAAGTTTGAAGTGCTTAGGCCCTGTCAAGCCAGGAAATTATGGAGATTCACTGCACTGGTTTGTTTTGTACTAAAGATGGTGGTGGTAAGGAAGGGTGGCTCCACAGGGATTACCTCTGAGAACACGGGATTCAGAGCTAAACAATAGGCCCTTACGTTATCATGAGGAATCTCTTCTTTTACTCCTGTAATTGGTGATACCATAATTAGCCCTGCATATTACTTCTGGGCACTGCTTTACGAGGCACTTCATTTAGCTGGACTTAGGGAGATTAGATCATGCGCAGGAAGCTGGCTCTTTGGTTATCAGGCTCCACAGAGGAGTCAGGAGGCTTAAGGACTGAAAATTTAGGGCTGATTTAAAGGAACAGGGTTTACTGGAAAAGTGCAGAGATTTTTTTTTTCCAGCCTGTAAAAATGCTTCCATGACCTTTTGTTTCCTATAAACCGTATTGATTCCTACCTCAGTACTCTTTCTATAAATAAGGGCCTCTTTAATCTTCCCTTTCTTCATCTTTAAATAGGGCTGCTAAAATTGACTTTGGGAGACTGTTATAATTTTAATGAGCTAACTAAAGAATCCAGGCCAGTACCTGGAAGATTTTAAAAAGCCTGACCATAGGTCCTTGAGCACATATATAATCATTGTCAGTTCCTCTTCTTCTTCTTCCTGTTATCACCATTATTGTCTACACTATTAGGTTTTAATTAATTTATTATAGTAGAAGCACATTTTGATATCCTATTGTTTAGAGTAGGGAATAAATATTCAAAACAAAACAAGGGAAACAAAGGGTCATGGAGGCATTTATTTTTGCAGTCTGGAAAAAAAATCTCTGTGCTTTTCCTTAGATACTTTAAATTTTTTGCCTTTAGCTATTATGATTTGTTTGCTTGTTTTGTTTGTCCTATTGTGTCACAAGCAACTGGGGGATACAGATTATTATTCATTTTTATACTCAACTTGCAGTGCCTAGGAGAGTACTTTGAATTCAGTGAATATTCAGTAAAAATCTGTTGACTTGAATGCAGCATGCTAGGATTATTGACAAGTACAATCAAGTAGGTAATATAATTATTGCTGATAAAAGTCAACATCCTCATGTGTTTAACTGTATAAAACAGATGCAGATCTAAGTGTGTAGAGTATTTCTTTGAACATTTATTGAATTGGCAGTCACATCCTAAAAGTGATGAACCCAGAGTAAGTTATATTTTACTTTAAATTTAGGGGCTTTTTGTCTTGTGTTTATTTGTTTTGGTGCTGGGGATTCAACCCATACTAAGCACATGCTCTACCACTGAACTACCTGTCTAGTTTCTAGGATCTACTTTTAAGTTTTTCTCGTTGATGGTAATTGTTAGTTCCTAATAGCCAGGCCTTCAACAGTAGGACAATTATCATATAGATGAATAATAGGAAGATTAGGAAACTCAGAGATGGCCACAGTTAGGAAAGGAAGAGGTGAGAAAATGAAGTAATTTCACTGGGCAGTTCAGGCTGTACTCACGGAAGGACATTCTAATTCAGTGTCCCTGAGATTGATCTTGCCTGCCAGTCTCAAACAGTTTCATCACCACATTGATTACCTCCTTAGAGCTGAAATTGTGTGCTTTAGGAAGGGAGTGTTTCTTTAAGATAAGACTCTAAACCCTGCCAAGTTTCTGGTGTTTGATTACCATTGCTCTGGCCTTGCAGTTGTGCTGTGTCTCACCGTGTCCTTTTCCCCTAGGTGTATGTAGTAGGGAATGAACCTCTCGCGGTATTGCTGGATTCCCTGCTTCCAGTTCTGAGGATGCTCTTTGCTCTCTACTGCTTTACAAAGCAGAGTGTATCTCACATAAGGTAAATATTAAACAGAACCCTTTTTGCTTATAGAATCTTATTTGTGAAGATTTAGGCCACTTCTTATTTCAAACTTAGGGAATCATTTGGGGAACCTTATTCTGCTCTTCCAGAAAAGAAAGATTTGCAGATCAAAGGAGTTTGGATATAGTTTTTTGTTTGGGGGTTTTTGTTTTGTTTTGTTTGGTTTTGTTTGGTACCAGGAATCAAACTTAGGATCTTGTGCTTGCAAGGCAGGTGACAGAACCACTGAGCTAAATCCAGCTTATTGGGTATAGTTTTTAAGGTGAATTCTTCAGCCTATGTCATAGACATCAGAGACAAATTCTGTTTCTGTGTATAAGCATGCCACTGTTTAATCAGTGAAAAATATTGCAATTACACGTCTGGGAAGGAGGAAACAGGATGGATCATAATGGCCTTGTAAGTCATTAGGGAACAAGTTTGAAAAATTTGGATGTTGGATGTAGCATATTGTAGTTAGCCTGGATTTGATATGGGTGACACAGTATTATTTAGAGGAAAAAAAAATTTTGTCTGTTATCCAAAAAATACTGTTTGTGTTGGAATTTAAATAGGACAAATTTAAGTAGAATTTATATTTGGGAGGGCCAGGGATTTAGCTCAGTGGTTCGCTTGCCTCGCAAGCACAAGGACCTGAGTTCGATCCCCGGTACTTAAAAAAAAAAAAAGAATTTATATTTGGGAGCTGAGGGTTTAGCTCAGTGGTTCTGCCACTTGCTTCGAAAGCTCAAGGTCTCAAGTTTGATCCCTGGTGACAAAAAAAAAAAAAGTAGTTTATATTTGGTAGCTCTTTTTTTGTTTTTGTTTATTTGTTTTGTTTTTTCTTTTTTTCTTTTCTTTTTTTTGGGGGGGGATACCGGGTATCAAACTTGGGTCTTTGTGCTTGCAGGGCAGGCGGCAGAAACACTGAGCTAAGTCCCCAGCCCCAGTTTTTATTTGTTTTTGAGGCAGGTTCTCCCATTGTAGTTCAGTCTGGTCCTGAACTTACTATGTAGCCCAGGCTGGCTTTGAACTTGTGGTTATCCTCCTGCCTCAGTCTACTGAGTGTTGGGATTACAGGCATGAGCCACCATGCCTGGCTATAGCACTATTTTTATAGTCATTTTTCTTATTTCTTCCTATTGGTAAGAGTTTATATGCTTTCTAAAATCCTGTGGAATTCCATTATTTGGTGTTGACCCAGTGTAGTTCTTCACAGGGTTACTGTGAAGACTAAATACATGATAAGAGTATTTGACACAGTCTCTGGCAAATGTTAACTCAATACATGGTAGCCATCATTAGCATATTTGCTAAGTGGTGAAGGAAGATAGTTTACATTATTCAAAGCTTACATATGCCTTTTGTTTCTTCAGCTTTCAGTTAGCCTATCATTGAGGCATACCCACAATGACAATGACAAGAAAGAATGCAGAGGATGGTGGAGGATCTAAACAGGGAATTTGGTTTCAGAGGACTATCCATATAATAACTTCTTTTATTTTTAAAACCCAAGTCCTCATGGCACTGTTGTGTCATCATCAAAGACTGACAAGGGAGTTGCAAATGTTCTTTCTGTCCCTTGCCTAATTGACTGACACAGATCAGAGGAAGTGAGGAATCAGTAATAATTTATTCTTATAATATTTCTTAATTACTGGCTGTTGGTTCCACTGAAAGTAGGTGTTTTTTTTTTTTAATCAGTGGATGCTTTCTTTCACAGTGCCTGATCCAAAAGTAAGTTATATGCTTAGAATACAAAAACAGAAACAAAATCACATGGGACTAATATGACATACTAGGGTTGCTTCTAGAGCCAAGGATTAGTCACTCATTGAATTTCAGGATATTTGCATTATGAAAGTCACAAGATACATACTTTCTATTCCTGTGTTTGAGTTTGTAGTAGGCAATTGTGCCAGCACTTAGAACACAATAGAACCTGACAGTCTTTCTTTCTCTTTTTTGTTAGCTTGTTAAATGCATCGAGTAAGATGATAAGCTCATTCATAACTGCTTTTTCTGCCAGGTCATTTTGCCAAGAGATCTTATTATGGATCCTGGAGAAGCTGGAAAGGAAGATAGCAATTGCCAGCCTTAAAGGATTTGCAGGGTTGGACAAAGCTGTGCCCTCACTCCATCCTTTGTGTCAGTTTAGAGCTGCCACCCAGGGCGGCATTATGATTACTATTAAAGAGGCCATGAGGTGAGTTTACCCATCCTTCACTGTCTCTCCAGGTTTAATTCTGACCGTAAAGCTGTTCTGTAACTCAGCCACTAAGGGGCACTGATGGAAAAGAAACCAGAAACTCAAGCAGCTGAGGCCCTCACTATTTATAGTCTGTAAATGAAATGTGAGCCTTAAATGATCCTCCAGGTTTTTTCCAAGATGCCAGCTAATAGTTGGTGCAATTTACTGGAGCCTCACAGCTCTGCATCATCGCAAGCCCACTTACTTCTTAGTCATTGCCAGAATCAGAGTAAAGGACAGCACATGTTCACCCTTAACACCAAAGAAATCCAATTCTATTTCTGACTTACAAAATGGTGTATGTGTGTGTTCATAGTCAGGCTTATTCCTGAAGGAAACTGTCTGATAGCTATATTTTATGGTACTTTTATAATGGGAGTTTATTTTTTATAGGAGTTGGTTAGAAAATACTTAAATATTAGTGGAATAGATTATTCATCCAACATCTCTCAAGTATTTTATTTTGGAGCTGGAGAGTGAGCCTTGCGCGTGCTAGGTACTCTACTATTGGGCTATACCCCTAGTACCACAAGTATGTTTTAAAGTTACTTCTGTTTTCTGGGAGATTGTGGAAGGTGATATTACCTAAGAATGTAAATTTCTGTTGGTCATAGACTATGATTTTAACTTATCCAGCTACTCTGTTGGATTTCACATCATGTGCATATGCTACTGTTTGTTGAAGTATTTAAATTTAGTTTAATTTTGTTTTGTGGCTAGCTATGTAGTTCACTCAGGCCTTAAGCTGTGTACCCCAGGCTAGCCTTGAAATCACAATGATTTCCTGTCTCACTCTCCTGAGTGCTGAAATTACAGTTGTGCACCACCACACTCAGCTCTAAATTTAATTTTATATTCATTGTTAATGTAAAGTTTTTAAAAACATACTCAATATGATGGGCTTGAGGAAAATAAAAAAATACAGATTTCTTCTTTTTTGAGACAGGTTCTCACTATGTAGTTGAGACTGACCTGGAACTCACCATGTCATCCAGGCTGGTCTTCAACTCACATCAATCCTTCTGCCTCAGCCTCCCAAGTGCTGGGATTACAGGAGTGTGCCACCACACCCGACAAAAAATATAGATTTCAAACAATTATCAAAATAAACTAAAGCTCTCAATTTTGTGAGAGTTGCTGACCATCAGCAGGTTTGTTATTATGACCATGCTCATAAACTGAAAGAATTTTTAATTATTTGGAATATTTATTTGAAAAACATTTGGGAACTCTTTTTACCTGGACCACTTTAGTGATAGTGTAGAAAATTTTATAACATCTAGCTTAGTAGTTATAACTTACTGCTATCTTAACAGTCTTTAGTACATTTCTTAATGCATGTAGGTTAGAATCCACGGTTCTTACTGAGACTAGTTTGTCTTCATGCTAGGAAAAAAATTTAACAGGCAGTACTTGAATGAATTTCCATCCACTGCCTGAAGCAATAGCTCTTTAACTTGAGTTCTCTGCATGGGTTTCAAGGGATCTATAATCTATAATTATACATACAAACTTTTTTTAATACACCAGCATGGTTCTTTTTCTGAAAATAGGTTTCATAGTTTTCATTGGATACTAAAAGCAGTCTGTATCATCAGCTTTGCACAACAAAACAAAAAACCAGTCTATTTCCAAAAAGTTGACAACCACTATACCAGAAAAATAAAAGGTGTGGGGTGGGAAAGAGTGAGAGAAATTTTTCATTTGCTTTCCAAGGCCTATTGATGATGTTAATTTCTCAGTGGCTGGGTTGGGGACTTTGGTCTCTATCATCACTTACTGTTCACTCTGCCATTTACCCAGCAGATGAGCAATTTCTCAAAATTTTGTGCAGCATTCATAGCATTCTTGCAAAAACTTACACATATTTTATTATTTGGTAATCGCATTCATTTTACTCGTTTTTCTGGACCTTTGTGTACTTTCTTACCTCAATTAATTGGTTCATATGAGTTGAGATTAACTACTCTTCTCCTGTGCTGATCATGGTTTTTCCACTGTCCATATCTCTTCAGTGGTTCATCTGAAAAAGTAAAAATTCCTTTTATTGACAGCCAAGGCCCATAGAGATTATTTTAGAAGATTATTATGGAGTTTCAAAAAAGATTAGATTTTGAATAATAGATTTAGAAGATTATGGGGTTTCAGAAAGATATATCTCTTGCTGACACTGCTAAGTTAAATCTTACACTGTATTGCAGCGATGAAGATGAAGATGAAGCCCTGTACCAGAAGGTGTCCTCAGAGCAGAGCCAGGTGGAGCATCTCGGGGACTTGCTCATCCATTGTCAGGAGTGTGGTTTGGCAGGAGACTTCTTCATCTTCTGTTTAAAAGTAAGAAATTCATGCTTTCATGGTCATCTCTATTCTGGGGTGGTCCCTGGAGGCCTAAAATTTGGATGCCAATTTAGGAAAAATGAGCAGAAGACAAAAGGGTAATTTAACTTTTCTTAGCCTTTGGGTTGGTGAAAAGAAATTTCTCTTTATGCAGAGTGATGTGTTGTAACTACTTTTGAAGGTAACCTTCCCTGAAATGGTAGAGACAAACAAAACAGTTATTGATCTATGAAAGGGTTAAGCTTTGCTCCATGTTGACAGTAAGAACTCTTTTGAAGTTAATAATGGGTTTTATAGCTATAGAGTAATCTCTTATCCTTTCTGGCAGTTGTTTTGTCAAGTATTTGGAACAGAGATTTAGTGTTCTGTCTCCCTCATTTCAGTCTGTAGCCACTTAAAATCTTTTTTGAGCCGGGGATTTGGCTCAGTGGTTCCGCCGCCTGCCTCACAAACGCAAGGACCCTAGTTCGATCACTGGTACCAAAAAAAAATATATATATATATTTTTCAAGCTTGTTTCCTTGTGCCAGTGCTTGTGCTTACTTTTTTCCTAATCTCCAGTAATAATTTGTACCCATGTTGTACCTGCCAGATGTCATTAGGCAGTGACCTCCAGGTTTGCCTTCTCCACTCTTTCTCCTAAGAAAAGTCTTCATCCTAAGATAATGTCTGCGCAGTTTAAGTTGGGGAGGGTATATAAGGATTCAAGAAGGAAACTGGGGGTTTTTTTTTGTTTTTAGTTTTTTGAGACAAGGTCTTGCTGTATAGTCTAGGCTGGTCTTGAATTCTCTGTGTTTTCCAGGCTGGCCTCAAACTTGTAGTAATCTTCCTGCCTCAGTCTCCCTAGTGTTGGGATTATAGACATGTGCCACCATACCAGCTAGTGAACATTTTTAAGACTTGAAGTGGGAATACTTTTTTTTCCCAATACTGGGGATTAAGCCCAGAACCTTCATTCTGAGCTATATCTCCAACCCTTTTTATTTTATTATTATTTTGAGATAGGGTCTCACTAAGTTGTTAAGTTGCCCAGGCTGAGCTCAAACTTGTGATCATCATGCCTCAGCCTTTTGGAGTGCTGGCTGGGATTACAGGCATGTGTCACCACACCCAGCTAGATGACACTTTTGGTGCTTTCTTATATATGGGGATATTCACATTCATCCCAGTGCCCAGGCACTCACGAGTAACATTCCAAGGAGGGGGACAGGGATTTAGCTCTATGGTTCCACCGCCTGCCTTGCAAGCACAAGGTCCCAAACTTGATCTCCTGTACAAAAACAAAAAACAAAAACAAAAAAAAAACAAAAACAAAAACCCAAAAAGTTGTGTGCTTAATTATATGCATTTTAAAAATGATTGTTTAGGGCCTGGGATTTAGCTCAGTGTTGCCACCGCCTGTCTTGCAAGCGCAAGGTCCTGAGTTCAATCCCTGGTACCTCCTGTCAAAATGATTGTTTAAAAACAAAAGGGCTTTGTTCTAAACCAGGATAACTGTACGTTGGTACATTTGACATTGTGGGCCAGATAAATCTTTTCTTTAGGGAGTTGTGCATTATAAGATATTTAGCAGCATCCCTGACCTCTACCCACTAAGTGCTAGTATCACCCCCCAATTATGACAACCAAAAATGTCCCTCAGACATTGCAAAATGTCCCCTGGGGAGCAAAATTGCTAGGCATAGTTAAGCACACTGCTCTGAGCTGTCAATTACTGTAGTAAAAGCACTAATTGTGAGGGAACTCAAGGTTTTCCCTTCCAAAGGAAATTTGCAAAGTGTAGGTGAAAGCCTATAAAACCCACAATAATGAATTATTTATTAGTGGAAGTTTAGTTTTAAGTATTGTAAAGGAACGGTGTGTAATGATCTCTAAAAAAGACTTTGGGAAAGTTATTTGGCCTGAGGGTTCAGTTCAAGGAAAGCCAATGGTAGAGATCATAAAAGTACTGATAAAGTAAACTCTGTCAAACCAGTTCTTTGTGTGTGGTATTTTTTTTATAATGAAATTTAATGTGCATGGTATCATAATGAGGATATTATCCTGCAACTTACATTTTTCACTCAACAATGTCTTTGAGATCTGTATTGATATCTAAATAGATCTATTTCATTTCTTTTAACTGCTTTTACATCACAAATGTATCATGCTTTATTCTCTAATTACTGGGTATTTAGGTTTTCTTCAAATTTTGGTTATTATACATAAGTAGCGCTGCAACAAATGCAGACCATTTCTTTACATATGCATTTCAAACAGTTTTCTAGCTGTTTGTGAAGTCCTTAGTTTTACTGGCTTTTTCTTTACTTTTTCTTTCCTCCTATGCTTCCAGGAGTTAAGTCATCTGGCTGTGGAAAATAAAGCAGAGTTAAAACCTAAGCCCTTCTCCAGCAAGAGCCTATTGGAATTAGAACACCAAGCTCTTCTTGTGGCAGGCTACGAGCATAGGCTGTTGGTCCTGCAGCTACTGGCTGTTCTGTGTGAGAAAATGTCAGAGCAGATATTCATAAACATCGCTCAGGTCAGTGGCTGTCACATTCTACATCCAACCTGCTGGTATTTGCTGTATTGGTTTCTTTACATTTTGTCTCAAAAAGTGTTGCTCAGAGTGTGATTTGATGACACCTGCATCCATATTTACTGGAATTCTGGTGAAACATGTAAATTACTGAGCCCGCATCAAACCAGATGAATCTAAAACTTTCATAGGTCCTTGGAATCCACATGTTTAACAAGTGCCTGAGGTGGTTCTCATGCACAGAAAACTCAGAACTGTTTTACTTTTTTTTTGGTACCAGGGATCAAATGCTGGTCCTTGCGCTTGCGAGGCAAGCGGCAGAACCACTGAGCTAAATCCCCAGCTGTTTTACCTATTTATGTTATATCACAGTGGTTTTCAACTTTGAGTGCAAATAAAATCGCCTGAATCATCTTCAGAATATTTATACTGATCACCTTTTAGAGATTCTGATTTAGGTTATCTGCGTGAGAACTTGAGCATCCTTTAGTTTGTTTGTTTGAGATAGAGTCTTGCTATGTAGTCTAGGCTGGCTGGCTGCCTCAAACTTGCTATACTCCTCTCAGCTCTTGAGTGCTAAGATTACAAGCATAATGCCATCATGCCCACCTTATTTCTTTAAAGCTCTGTGTGTACATTGCCTGTCTGCAAGCGCAAGGGCCTGAGTTTGATTCTCAGTAGCAACAAAACAAAACAAAAAAACTCAGGAATTTTTGCCGGGCATGGTGGTGCACACCTGTAATCTGAGCACTCGGGAGGCTGAGGCAGGAGGATTGCTGTGAGTTCGAGACCAGCCTGGGCTACATAGTGAGTTCCAGGTCAGTCTCAGCTACATATTGAGTGAGACCCTGTC